AAAGTATGAGCTCTTTCGTGCAGTTCCTTTTTCGTCCAGATCGTGGTGCTAGCTTAATTTTCTCATTTACAATCATAAAGGTGATCATACAGGTGCGATGAGTAAACTCGTGCGTCATTGTTACATAGTGCGTTCTAAATGTTTCCGTTTGCTCTAAACAGCCATATGCGGTTTCTTGGGTTGGTTAAAGAAAGCGGTATCCACAACGTTGCCCATGGTAAATTAGTATTGACTGTTTTGCACTTGTTTGTGAGATTGATCTTCAGTTTTAAAGACATCTAGATCCGTCCAATTCACCGTTATCATCCTCGTGTTTGTGTCCTGTTGTATGTATCCCCCCACAACATACTGAATCTGTGGTGAGAAACCGCAAGTGACTCTTTCGAATATCTCTCCTTTGCGGCGAGTGCTAGCAGCTATGAAATGGACGAGTTGATCGTTGTCATGTCTGGTACGACAAACACCAGATCGTATTGGATTCACCATTGTCGCCGCAAGTCTTTCATCCCCCCTCCCTAATGTCTTTCAACACGGGTGTCCTGGAACTATCTTGGTAACATCTTGGATAACATTTTTGATTAAACATTCGGCTTTGCTTATTCGTCTGCTGATCATCGAGTGATCCAACAGCAGCAACAAGAGTGTCAATTCTTCAAAAAGTTGCTGGGTCCTATTTTTTCCTTGGCCCTTGGTCTTAGGCAGGTCTATATATTGCTTACCTTATTCCTTTGCTTGCTGTAAACTTGAACGTGTGATACTTTCAGCCGTCCATTGAATAAATCTTTCAGATCAGTAAAATAAGTAACTGTGTGGTTGAACTAACACCAGACCACTGGCATTTGGCCTGATGATTGAACCTCAATGCAATTGGCGAGGAAACCTGATACGTGGGTTTCTAGCTTGTTCTTTCGACACATCTTTAGTGGTAGAAGTTGCTTATTGTAGCTTCAAAAGATGTATCTGATCTAAACACTTTTCGGCTCAGCAATAAATTACTCAACTTCGAATATTTGAGCAGATCAGTTACCTCACTTGTTCGTTATGCCTACTGTAATAATTAGTTCTCCTTTAGGGTTAAGCTGAATCAATCTAGAGGCCGTTTGTGGTTGATATAAGGCTTGCGCTGTGTGATGACCTGAGAGAATAATTTATATTCATATTTGACTGGAAGTAGGATGAGCGGTGGTTCAGCCGCCTACGCAAACTCCGTTCCTTATCTTCACAGAAATGTATTTTTGCGGGAGTGCATATGGCTTGCCGAAGTATTTTTTATTCTGTTTAATGTCTGGATATTTTCCTTACAGCTACAGTTGTGCTCAAGCTGATTTTTTCACTCCTGTTCGCTTTTCCTACATCTCCGTCAGGATGCATTTGCTGACTGGTTCAGGCAAGTGCACGCTAACCGACCGGTTCCACCCCCGGAGTCCAATGCAACAAGTTACGGAGCGCGTGGATTTGCTCAACGCCTACAAGCTGAGGAGGCCAAGAAAGCGTATGAGGCACGAGTGGAGCGTTGGCGTCACGAGCTGCGACTGGACACAGAGGTCAGTTTATTTCCGTGCTCTGTTATTTGGCAGTCTTATCTAACCTCTGACCTCACAGTTATTTTCCGAGGCAGTACCGCGTTATTTCTGTCAGATGTTTTCCTGACTCCGTTGGGAGCCTCAGAATTGAGGCTGTCGGATATTGTTTTGGCGAAGTTTTTTCCTCATTTACTCTGGTCCTTTTCTTTCATCACTGTTCTTGTATTCTATGAAATTACACATCAGATGAACGTTTTCTCTACGGGTTCATGTGGGCGTGACCGCTTGGGGAGGCATCAAAATGAGAAGAATTCCATAGGGCGAAATCAAAAGACAGTGCAACTGGATGAGATTAACCACGACAATATGAATATCGTTTCACAGAGCGTGAACCTTCTCGATAGCGTTTGTATGATTGCTGTGTCTAAAAGGCTTCTACACGGAGTAGACAAAATTTCCATTTATTTTTTCGGGCAGTATCTTGAGAAGTTGCATTAGACCAAAATTTTTCATTTCCATTTGTTACGCTATAAGTACACAAAGCATTATTTAAGAAGAAGCTGTGTCCAGTCGAAGGCAACGTGATAATGGTCTGGCTTGGATACACCAACTTACGAGGTGCTCGATGTTTATTGAGGCAGACAGGGGATGGAAAAAGGCAAAGGGTATTCAAACTAAGACCTGACCGGAGGGTATGAAAACACCAACCAAGAGACTCAGTTACATAAGTCCCGTTAGGCTCCCGGGATGGGGACCCCGAGATCATGGGTACGAGCACTGAATGATATGACCGAGTGTCAAAAACAGTGGCGTTCATGCATCTACTCATTATTCTTGCAACCCTAGTCCATCTTCTCTTTAACTCAGCTCTCAACATTCCACCCTTTTACTCTATTATCTAAATGGACAGCCGAAAAACAGCAACCCAAACCGGCACACGAAAGTTCATAGTTAATAGTCCCTCATTTCTATATTTTCCCAAGCAGCCTTTGTATGGCTGCGGGCCAGTTCCTGAAAGTTGATTGTACATTTGTATAATCAATAGATAAAAAGGAGGCAAAAAGACATTCAATTTAGTTACTATTTAACTGAAACTGAAATTCACGAGGCAATGGGCTAGCGGTTTATACCAACTGGCTACCACCACAGCTTTCGCCGTATAGGGGGCCTGTAGTTATCTAATTTATCTCAGTCTACTAGGCAATCTGGATAGTTTTAGATACCGACGATTTGTGGCTCATCAAGTAATTGTTTGATACACAATTAAATTATGAAAATGCTCCGACTGGCGTCGACGAAATCAATGGCTTTACTTTCAAAAGACGAGTTGCATCGACAATAGTCTTGTCACCAAATCCGTGCAACTGTTCTCGGAGGCCCCATGTCCAACTTGAAATACATCACATGTGGATAGTGCCACAATCGGTAGTTTGAGACGGATGTTAGAACTTGTTCATCATTGTTTTGTATTCGGTTATCAAACGACGTATGCACCACCTGCTTATTGGCTCAGCAGCAGTGAGAATCCCTCGCTCCACCAAATTATGATTGCAACAGAAACCCCACAGTTGGAGCGTAGGCCTACTACCCAGTGAACTACCGAGCTAGTGCAGAAATGGACGAGGTTAGCTACTCACAAGAAGCTTGCATAGTAGACAAGAGCTATGTCGTGTACAGAATAATTGCTCTTGTCTACTAAGCCGCCCAACAGTAAAGTGGGTAGTATGCTCACTTGCTGCGCGTGTGATCCCCGGGCCTTCTTCACAGTTTGTTCGATGCGTTCGCATTGCTGACGAGTTCGAAACAGATTCACAGGGTTTCCCAGGTTTTCAGTTCATGTCTATAACCGATATACTTTGTCATGTAATCAAATTCACGACAACAAACGACAAAAACAAATAAGCAGTCGCGAACAGACAGCGGTGGCACTACCAGGGTGTGGTGGGTTTCAGGCTGGTCACCTGGCTCCTGTTTAAAAGCCACATAAGCCCA